AGCAAATTCAAAAGAGTAATGCTACACTGACTAAATTTTAGAATTAAATTTAAAATTTAAATAACATGACAGTTGATTATTTGAAATTTTTATTGGGGCTCAAATGATATGACACTAATTAAAGAAGTCTTAATCAATTACCATATCATTTGAATTTTAAATTTAATCTTAAAATTTGGTCAATCTAACGTTACTGAATCAAAAGGGACAGAGGGTAGGGTGGCGCGTGCTGTGTGCGAAGTAGAGGGCGTTGTGGTGGTCATACAATTCGCTCTTTATAATTTACACCGAAAGCTTATTGTTTTGTTCTTGTACTTGTGTAGGATATTCAAAGTCAAGCCAGCCAAACCAAGAGCATTTCAACAAAAGCAGCCAGCAAAACCTAAACTACATTTTCTCCCACTTCACCTTCCACTCATCTGGGGAGAGATTCATGGCTTCCAAACAACACAGTCCTAGTGTTCTGATGCTACCATGGTTAGCTCATGGCCACATATCACCATTCTTGGAGCTAGCCAAGAGACTTGCAGAGAGAAATTTCCACATATATCTTTGCTCCACACCCATCAATTTAAAACCTATCAGAAAAACCCTTCTTTCCGGCCAACTCTTTCCTTCAATACAACTCATAGATATCCACCTTCCTTCCTCCCCAGAACTCCCTCCTCACTTCCACACCACCAAAGACCTCCCACCCCACCTCATGTCCGACCTCAAAACCGCCTTTGATGCGGCCAAACCTGACTTTTGTAACATCCTTAGAACATTCAAACCAAATTTAGTGATCTATGATTTCGTACAGCCATGGGCACCCGAAGTGGCTCGCGAAGAAAACATTGATGCAGTTCTTTTCTTAACTTTTGGTGCGTCGACTTGTGCTTTTCTCAATCATTTCTTTGAGAATCCTGCTTTGGAATATCCTTTTCCGGCATTCCAGTTCCCTGGAATGGAGCGCCAGAAAATTATTGGGTTTATGTATGAAATCTCAAATGGTGTCTCAAGCAAGGAAAGGTACCTAGGATGCTTGGCAAGTTCTTCGAGCATCGTGTTGATTAAGACATCGATAGAAATTGAGGAAAAGTATATCGATTATTTGTCAGTTTTGACGGGAAAGGAGATGGTTACTGTGGGGCATCTTCTTCAGGACCCTACAAACAAAGATGAAGACACAGTTATCATGGAGTGGCTGAGCAAACAAGAGGCTTCTTCAGTTGTGTTTGTCGCTTTTGGAAGTGAGTATTTTCTTTCAAAGGAAGAGATAAAAGAGATAGCTTATGGATTAGAGCTCAGCAAGGTGAGTTTCATATGGGTTGTAAGGTTTCATGGAGGAGAGAGCATTAGATTAGATGAAGCCTTACCAGAAGGCTTCCAAGAAAGGGTTGGAAAGAGAGGCATGGTACTTGAAGGGTGGGCCCCACAGGCAAAGATACTAGGACATACTGGCATAGGTGGCTTTGTGAGTCACTGTGGGTGGAGTTCAACACTGGAGGGAGTGATGTTTGGTGTTCCCATCATAGCCATGCCTATGCATTTAGACCAGCCCTTGAATGCCAAGGTGGTAGTGGAGATTGGCATAGGCATGGAGGTGAAGAAAGAGAATGGAAGGTTCAACAGGGAGGAGGTGGCCAAGGTGATCAATGAAGTGGTAGTGGAGGAAGAAGGGAGAGAAGTGAGGAGGAAGGTCAAGGAATTGAGGGAGAGCATGAGAGAGAAGGGTGATGAAGAGGTAGATCTGGCGGTGAAGAAACTGGTGCAGCTAGTTAGGGAAGCATAAAGTTTGTGCAGTTCTTTTACAAGATGACAAGTATGAGAGCCTCAAAGATAAAGACAATCTTGTACACTGTAAGTTGAATACATAAATAATGCATCTTTGGCTTGCAAACACCACAAACAGAGTAAATTAAACAACAGGTGCACTTTGAAGATATGGCCAAACAGAATCTATTGAGGCAAATAATCAAAAGATTCTTTGGTCCATGGCCCCAATCCATCACCTGTCAAAAAAAATTGAAAAACAAAACAAAATAGACATTTGTGAGGCAAGTTGAAACATGGGTTGTGCGCTCTCCCTTTTGTTTTACCAGAAATTTTGACGGGGTGGACTACTTATTATGATTTGTGGAGTTTAAGAACTAAATTTAGACAATTGAAAATTACTATGGTATTTTAAAACTAGGGCATACTTCGAGATGCGTTTATATTATTTACCCAACTTCAATAGAGGGTAAAAGAGAACTTGAAGATTGCCATAGAATCCAACTACTTGTCCCCTGGTTTAGGCCTTTGTGGTGGCACTTTTGAATCATTGAAATTGTTCAACAATGTCTAATGAGTGCTTCATATGCAAACATGTACTGGCAGGGGAGCAATCAAAGAACCTCCATGAAAAGCAAGTGAAATAAATAAATCAAAAAAAAAGAACCTACACAATGTACAAGATTCCTGTCTATAATGGAAGGTATAGGAGATCAACCCGGAGCAACATAAAATGTTTGGGTGAAAAAAAGAGAGAAAATCCAAGAGCACAATGCTGGTAACAGTTCCCAAGACATGAAGTAACCATTCTTATCACATCTTATGAGGGGGAATCTATGTTCTTGCTCAGCTCCTCCAGTTTCATCATCCTCAGTCTCTCACTTTGCTTCACCAACTGGCCAATGAGTCAAATAAACAAAGATTAACAAAGAAAACTAAATTGAAACTGTGGTGGTTGAGTGTTTATTTGTGACCAAAATAGCACAAAGATCACCTCCATCAATTTGGTTAGTAGTTGAGATTTTTCCTTGTGCTTCTCATTGAAAGCCTCGAGCATCTTTGAATTCCTTTTCCTGGAATAATAAGTAACATTGAAGGGTACAAAAAAAAAAAAAAAAAACTTACCTGAATAATTGAAGTTATGTTCATGATGCATCCCTATGAATGCGTTTTTCTAACCTTCGGGGTGCTTTAACATCCCATGGAAATAAAAGTTTGGGAACTCATTTTGTTAAACAATTGCAAAAGAAATGCGCTCATTTTTTAATGATATGTAAACAAAGATAATCTATCATACTGAAAAATACTTTTCGATCTAAATAGTCTATCCAATTATGTCAAATTACAATCAAACTGTCCATGTTACGACTCAACAAGATCCCGTTCAGATCGATTCAAAAAACTGGTGATCAATCTCACTTTATTGTACTGAATCGGTGGCCTAGATTTTTCTTAAGTGTCAGTGAACTTACACCAAATGCTAAGTATACAGAATGTAATGGTTTCAATTCCTTGGGGTTTCAAACAACACCAATGATTACAAACTTACCTATAAGTTGTTAGTAGTTAATTGGCCAACAGTATTTGAAGCTCTAATCAGAAAAGTTATTACAATGCTTCACCTTCTTTTGGCAGCTCTGTCCCAATGGCTTTAACTCTCGATTGACCACATCAATCTTCTTGCGTACAAGAGCAACTTGCTTCCTCATTGGATCTGTAAAAGCTTCTAGTTCCTAGAAGATTTCCATTTAGTTATACATAAAATGAAACCACAACATTTGGTCAATAAGATGTGCTATTACTTATGTACAGATGAATAAATGCTATGCAAATTGCATTAATATATATCTATCTGTATCTATTCATCAGTCTATACAAATATATAGATGAAATAAACGAGAAACGTCCCAAGCATGATTCATTTGGATTCATGGTTACGATGACAAAATCGGGGTGCATGCAATCATCTACAAGGATGTACATTCGAGTGCACCTTTTTCAATACTCAAACTTTGTATCTGGAGATAGTACTTCTAAGGCCTCTCCCATCTGAACCAACATTACGGGTTTTAGTCGATTTATATTTGTTTTCAAGCTTTATACACACCATTGGTTTTGCCTATGTTTGCATACTTACAAGTTTTTCTGGTCCAGTGTGTGTTTATATTGCATTTGCAAGCTTTTAGAGTCGGTACACACAAAAAGAGGCTTTCAGAGCAGAGATTAGCATGCCCTGAAGCAATATTGTTCAACTTACTTCACGAATCATGGCCAACCTCTTCGTTTCTTCTTCCACACGGCCCAACTGTATCTGAACCTTCTCCATGACCTCCATCTTCCTCCTCTCTATCTCTTCTTCCATAGTGCGAAACGAAGATAAAGCTGACTTTGACATCTCCTCCTCCATGTCTCCGTTCATGGGGCTCCCATGGTGACTAATTATTCCCGAGTTCTTCACCCGAAACATCGGTGATTGTTGCTGCTCCAATATCTGTCTCTGGGTTGCCATTGCTGCCTCCACTGAACACTTATTCTGTTGCTTGTTATTACCTCTTATACTCTTTCCTCTTTTGCCTTTCTGCTTTAAATTATGGTTGTCTTTCCCCTGTTACCGATGCTTATAAACAAAACTGGCTTTGACGTTATAAAACCAACTGGCTTTCTTTGTAACACATATTACAATGAGATGAGAAGTCCAAAATGCCTACTCACCGTATTATGCAGAAGTTAGGAAGAATTCACTTAGATTCAGTGAAGGTTACTCTGAAAACTTAATTTTGATCAACGAATTCCTGTCATCACAAATTAATTTTAATTTTCCATTGAAGAGACATATGGCAAGTTGAAGTCCGCCAATCAGCCTCTATAAAATAAGATAATATCGTCCACCAATTACTTCTCCTAAATTCGTTATAGGCGGAAATCTTACGTGTTGGATAGACATATTTTTCCAATGAAAGAATATGCCGATGCGAAAACCATAATGATATAATATTTAATGAAAAGTTGATGAAGGACTGAGACGGCCCTCTATTGGTAAGACAACTATTTTATCAAGTAGGTATAATGGCAGACTCATCTAACTACTACAGAACTTCTCAATTGTAAATTTATTCACAAGTTGCCAAAAAATGCAGTTAAAGTATTATGACACTTCAAAGATCTTGATGAAACTAGGTTTTAAATTGCTGAAAATTATCGGATGTAGATCACTACAGACTCTTGTATAGTCTCCCTCAACGCCAAATCACCCACTGTAATAGTGGGACGTACTTGAGACGGGGCTTGAGTTTACTTCTTCTATCCAACTTGGATAAGAAGGTCTTCTTCTAATTGTCAACCTTGACGTGGGTATGATGTATATTGGTGATATTTGTTGGGAGGTCTCAAAATGCAGTGGAAAAACTTCATTTGTCCAAGAAGTGCAGTGGTTGATATAGAAGTAATGTTGAAGGATGGACAGTGAGAGGTCATCTACACTAAAAATAATGAGGGCCTTTGGGGACAAGACAGAGTAGGAGAGCATGTAGCACAATTACCCTTCCAGTTTGGGCTTCGAAGAAAGAATCTGATTTAGTTTTCTATTTGGTATCTCTAGTTCAACTACTTCTTTCAGATTATGTTAAACAACTCAAGTTTTGGCAACCAACTTGTGGATTGGTGACGGGTTGCCTGTTCATTTAATTATTGGTAACTAACACTCTTATTTCCTAAGGTTTGATAATACTGAGGCTCTTTGGTTTGGTGCATTGCTTCATCGACAATCCTCAAGAATTAGAGTGTTGCTGTTTTACTGGGCTTTATACCTTAGTGGGGTCTAACAAATCAGAACTCAGGCCTCCAACTAAGACCAAAGATCATTGATTGGAAAAATGACACTAGTTTCTCCAGCAGCCTACATATTTAGCGCAACGACCTGACTTTAAGGTTGAGGCGGGATTACAATATTGTTGTTTTACAATATGACCTCAAATTTAACTTATAGAAATGTAAAACATATCTATTATACGATAGATAATTGATTTTAATAATAGGACTGAAAAGTGATAATATATATAATATAAACATCGAGTAAGATAAAAAATTTAGGTTGAACTATACTGCTCTAATTTTTTTTGAAAGAAATTTTAAAAATTTTACGATAATACTATTTATACTTAATTTGACGGTCAAATACATTAGATAAATAATATATTTTGTTTAAAGTTTACACTCTCTACTAATTCAATTGTTAAAATGTGTTGAATATTTAAATTATATCACAATATCTAAATTGTATACCATAGTATAAAATTTTATTTTGGAGCCCCAAATTTTTATTTGGGGCCCCTAGGCATTGGCCTATAGGTTGGGCCGGTACTAGACCCAGCACACACGCACCCACACCCACTCACCCACACACACATCACAAACAAACCCACACACCATTGCGGACACACACAAAACACAAATTTTTTCCTCTTCTGCTCTTTTGTAGGCAACCAAAACAACTGTGTCAAATACTATTATATTGGTTTTTCCCATGCAAGATGTTTGCTAAATTGCCTAACATATAATGTTTGGATTAGATAAGCTACAGCATCTGCCTCGCCGTGTTCCCTACAGCCTGTGCTTACATCCAGGCAACAATTGGCAAACCTATAAGCACATGTTGTTAAAGCAGTTTCCGTGCAAGTATTAGAATGTGCAGTTGTGCGAAAGATATAAGACAGATAAATCAGCCAAACTAAAGAAACACTAAAAGGAATCTCACCTACCAGTTATTAAAAGTCACTCAAATTAAAATTGGGCCGTAGATCTTGCCAAAACCTCGAGAAATATCTCTTGAAGATTTGCTTTGGTGAAATCACATGGGACAATAATGAAATTTCTTTTACTTTAACCTGATTTGTGATTATCATTTTTTGTGTTGTTGTACTCAAGTTCTCCATTCTTGCTTTTGGATTTGGAATCTATTGTTTATTAACTTAGAATTGGTGGCTCATTGTTTATATCATTATCACCGTCGTCTAAAGGTTTATCATTTCAAACAACTAGATGCCAATTTCCAGTACGCTTAACATATGCTAAGACAATCAACAAGTCACAGCATATGTTAAGCGTAGATCTAACATAGGCTGAATACAGGCGAGTGTAGATCTAACATGGCCACATATAGGTGACCGTGGCTGAATACAGGCGAGCGTAGATCTAACTTGGCTGAATAAAGTTGGTGTAGATCTACGCTCGCCTGTATTCAGCCACGGTCACCTATATGTGGCCATGTTTAGATGCACATCGGCTGATCACATTAGTGTCCTTCTCTCTCCTGGTGGATTAGCTACCATGACAAATATTGTATATCTGGAGGTGTTGTTGGACTCTGTGTAAATATTACTACCTTTTTTTTTATGTATTGCAACTTACGTCAGGTCTAGGTTTATGACTTTTGTTATAGTTTTAATAGCTTTTTCCACACATGTATGATGATAAATTTTCAATGATTATATGTTTGTTTTTTAAATTCGTGAGTGTCTGCGTTCAATGATTAAATCTTTTTTTCAGTACATGTAGTTGAAGGAGTATCTATGATATTTGTTCCCAATTTTTGGTAGTTATTTGTCTACAAATAAAATTTATCTTTGCGTTAATGACGTGTTGAGGAATCAGTTATCCTTCATCTCCTTTTTTGTATTCCTCCTTTTTTCACTCATCTCTCTCTGTCTTTCTCCCTTTCTCTCTCTGTTAGGCCATCTCCAACAACACCATCGCCAACGACACAGCTATCGCCATTGGTATATAAAAATTATTAAATGTGTATTTTTTGGCATAAAGCTATATTTTGTTTTTTGTGTTAGATGTTAAAGGTCTAGAAGTGGACAAAAAGGTTAAACTTCTATGTTGGTTTGTGTGGAAATGGTAAACTTAAATATCCACCATACTTTGTGTTAAATTTGTAAATTGTCTGCCATAGAACTAGCAACACAGCCTAGGTACACCTTCTCCTCTCTATCTCTCCCTCTTTGCCATCCCAGTAGCACAACCCAACACACACACACACACAACTCACGCACAACAGACACACAGAGCAAACACACACACAACGCAACACCATTCAATACGGGTTTTTTAATTTAGGTTAATTATGGATTTTGAATGTTTGTGTTTAATTTGTGTGTTTTAAATTTGGCTTCTTTTATATTTGAGTATTTTTAATTTAGATGTTTTTACAATGGGTTTATAATTTAGATGTTTAATTTGTGTTCTCACTCTATCTCTCTCCCTCTCCCTCTCTCTTTTTCACGACAAACCTCACCCAAACACACAAAGGCCTCACCCAACCGCACACACAACAACAAACACACACACACACACACACAAATCTACACACAAACACACACTACACAACATCACACAAACATACACTACACAACAACACACAAACACACAAATCTGTGTGTGATTTGTTTTTGGCTAAGTGAATATGAGTTTTTGAATGTTTGTGTTTAATTTGGGTGTTTTTAATTTGGATGTCTTTTAATAGGGTGTTTAATTGGATGTCTTTTTTTTTTTTAGTTATGAATGTTAGGTTGTCACCATAGTTTGAGTTGAGAATTGGGTGTTGAATATAGTTTGGGAAATTTCAATTTGATTTTTTAGTATCTTGATTTGATGAATGTTACTTTGCATGAAATATCTTGATTTGATTAATGTTAATTAATATGAAATAGGTTTTCATATGGTTTTGATACATTATAGAGATTGTATGTCAATTAGTATGAAATAGAATCTTATAACACACCGTTTACCCCCCCCCCCAACACACGCACATATTTTTAGGATTTTCACGGTTATAAGTTTTTTGAATGTTATATTTTTAATAATTGGATTTTCAAATTGGGATTGTAAAGTTATTATTTAATGTTATAGTTGTTAGTCGAATTTTGATTAAATGCATGTTAATTGTATGAAATTTTATAATGGACGGGATTTGGAATTGGAAATTAGGTTTACGGTTGAATGTTAATGTTTTTTTAATTGAAATGTGTTATTTTCATGAAATGAGATGTTGAGTTTATGGTTTTTTTCATTAGAGATATTGGTGGTTTTTTGATTGAATGTTATAGTCTTTTTTTTTATGTTATTTTATTTTTTAATTGGATTTTTGTTTCTTTTTTTTTTTTTTTGGTGAAAGGTGTTGAAGTTTGATTGAATTGTATTTTGATTGAATGTTATAGTTATAAAAATTGAGTTATTTTGATAATAGTTGAAATTTCATTGTGATTGATGTTAATAATACATAACTTTTGAAATTTACAGTGTAGTCACCATCGTTTCAACTGCACAATCATCGACCGATGAATGATGTCGTTATTTTTAACAGTGTAAGTTTATCATCTTATTAACTCTCTCTAAACTTCTTTTATTGATTTTTTTAATAACATATATATTTTGATTTATCTTCATTAATGTCATGACAGATGAACGATGATCTAGAAAATACTGTATGTTAAGCTTTTTTTACTCATC